GCAGAGAGAGTAGCCGGCAAGTGGCCTTACCGCGTGCAGCGTAAAAGTTGCCGTGAACGACGGGAGGGAGTCGCGTAGCCTCTCGCAGCCACGGCTGCATTGTGTAATTTCGTGGCAATGGGAAACGATGGGATGTCAATTAAAGGCACGCCCGCTGCTTGTAGGCGAGACTCCCCCTGGGCGTCATTATACAGCCGCGAGCGCTGCTGTGCGAGCACAGAGACTGGGCAGGTCAGGGTCACATCAATCCATTGCATCTCAGTGTGTTAACAGAGACGTCTCGTGTGTTAACAGAGACACCCCATGTGTTAACAGAGACGTCTCGTGTGTTAACAGAGACGTCTCGTGTGTTAACAGAGACGTCTCGTGTGTTAACAGAGACACCCCATGTGTTAACAGAGACGTCTCGTGTGTTAACAGAGACGTCTCGTGTGTTAACAGAGACGTCTCGTGTGTTAACAGAGACGTCTCGTGTGTTAACAGAGACACCCCGTGTGTTAACAGAGACGTCTCGTGTGTTAACAGAGACGTCTCGTGTGTTAACAGAGACGTCTCGTGTGTTAACAGAGACGTCTCGTGTGTTAACAGAGACGTCTCGTGTGTTAACAGAGACACCCCGTGTGTTAACAGAGACGTCTCGTGTGTTAACAGAGACGTCTCGTGTGTTAACAGAGACGTCTCGTGTGTTAACAGAGACGTCTCGTGTGTTAACAGAGACACCCCGTGTGTTAACAGAGACGTCTCAGTGTGTTAACAGAGATATCTCAGTGTGTTAACTGTTTGCATGGCCCCGCATTCAGAAAACTTTTATAGAGTTACACATTTACAATTGTTACCAATATTCTTAGACACGATATTGCGTAAGAAAAACTTTTATAATTTGGGTCCCCGAATTTCATATAAACTTACATTCTGACAGTAAATGACGAGTGATTTTGTTTATTATTAGTCAACTACAGGCAATGTTGATCGTTTTTTACGTGTATTTTTTTTTCTGTGGCAGTTTATTTTTAAGGATGTCATCAGGGAAGACTATTTTCCGTAGCGCCTCTTGGCACAGTCTCGGCCAAATGGTATCTGTGCGACGCCGTGTCGTTGGATAGCCCTCTACATACATTGGCGGAAACCTACGCACAGTGAACAAAGTTGCTTTTGTACCACATTGCATTAAAAGGTCACAACCCTCTGTCGAGGTACCAAGTTGAGAAGTCAGAGCAATGAGATTTGTGGGCGGGAAAAACAACGGAGCGATGTTCTATAGTTTTACATCAATCCACGTAGACGACTGGTTCCCTCCAAGTCTCTTACTCATCATGTCCATATATTGATAGACTTTTAAACTGAGCTACAGCAAAATAAGTGCAACACGAGTTATTTGATTTTCTTAATGTGGCCATCCATTTGGAACATGACTGAAACCTATAGTTGGCTCCACGGGTGACGCTGGCTGGAGTGGTGGTGAAGGCAAGGGATTCCAATCCAGGATACCGGTGGGGCTCGTTGTCGACTTAACTACACTTTGACGTGACTTGCTTTCACATTGTTTTGTAATTCATTCAGCAATTTATTTCTTAAACGCCTCCGATTAGGATGGTTGGCTTCGTACGGCGTGAGAGAATTTCAACACACACACGCACATACAAGCAAGTATATAAAATGCAACTATGCTTCCAAAAAAGTTTTTCGTTATTTGTTTGCACAATTCACTTCACACCCGAAAATTAAAAACACTTTTCAACTTTCAGTAGTGCTCCAGAATTGTTTTAACGAGACACAGCAGCAAACACCAATTGAACAAATGTTCAATTGAAGAGCACCATTAAACATGCATTGCCTACAACTGTAATTGCCAGCAAACGAAATGGAGACAAAAGCTCCTTTCTGCTGCACGCCAATGAGCGCAGCACCAACAGTTCCTTGTGTTAGGGGCAACATTGTTGCCGGAAAGCTGTTGCACACCGCGTTCATTGTGTTGCATCTGCCAGAAAGTAGTCCAGTCAAAAACAGCGAAGCAGACATAAACATGTTTATGGTGCGCCTTAATTAACATTGTTGTTATGACGAGTAGTGCGTCCTTTGGCGATGCAATATTTTCAACCGGGACCACAACGCTAAAAAGCCCAAATGTAAAAACAATATGGCGACCAGGAGGTCATGTAGCAGAGCTTTAACAGTTCTGCAAAGGACATTGGTTTGAAAACTCTTTACAAATATACGCATGTTCCAGAAGCATCAATGTACTATATCGTACAGTGTTGAAGCTACAATGGTTTATAACTTCCCCCCTAGGCGACACTTTGCTGAGACATGTCAGACGAGTTCTTAATGTGACTGCACTCGAATACCTATTACGGTAAAGCAAATGCTGTCTCTGGGAGCGCACGTGACCATGCTCATTCCAAAGGTGCCTTGTTAAGTATCCTGGTTGGCATTTCGTGCTGGTTGCTCTGCAATCCTTTGTGCACATTGCTATTACATTTGCAAGAGAAAGGAAAACCTTATTGTATTTTCTCTGGCTAACACGTGATGTTTGAACAAGAAGTAATGAAAGTTGAACTTTCATTTCCATCATGCTTTTTATCGAACTATTTATCATATCACTTCAATTGTTATGAAATGCTATCCATCGCTATGCCTCACATCACTGCGTTCATGCTCGTGGTTTGCCTCAGTTCTCATCTCAAGCATGTGTCGATGCTTTTCTCTTATGTTATTTAAACAAGTCATTCTAATTTAATTTATTCTCTTTTTTAATAGTACAATAGTGTTAAAAACACCGCAAGTGTTGTTTTAGGCTTTGTTCAATACACGCTGCTATTAATTCGGGGGGCGAAATTCTTGAGAAACCTGAAACTCACAATGGAACTACGTGCCACCAGCCAACACAAGGCTTACGTAGACTCGCATTGTAGGCCTGAGTTTCTCTTGAAGTGTTGTTATTTTAAACTCCTTTCAAGTGTTTGTTTTATGTCATATTAGCGATTAAGTGATGTTGAGAGGTGATATTGCTTCCACATTAGTGTATATAGGCTTTTTTTTGTTATGTTCTTGAGATAAATCTGGTTGCTTTGGTAAGGTGAATAACCATTAATAGGGCCTGCACTGGAGTGTATCTTGTATGTAAGCCAGGACAAGCAAAGTGCACATGGGCTATTCGTCGAGAAAAATGCGAGTATTAAATATTTGTAAGGCTATTCCCCAAGAAGGGCTCATTAGACCTCACATTTAGACTTCAATGAAAAGTTCGGTGGAAATTTTAAACATAATTTTAAGAAAAATATATTCCAATTGTGCTTTGTCAGGCGCAGGCCGACACATCTCTGCTGTTTTGAAATCACTTGAGGAGACCAAGGCTACTGTGCCTCAGAGAATCAAAACAAACCCAAACAGAAGCAGCGTGCCTAACGCCCGCTAAGCAAGCCTTGAGTACCAACGTCTAGCTGGTATTAACTTCGTAGATTTTCAGATGACTGCGTTTTTTCGTATTTTAAAATTTGAACCTTTCCCTCCACATTTATCCCAATTGTGCTTTTGATATCGATACGAAGGAACCCACAGCAGAGCTCTAGAGACTCCCCCTCGGTTTAAACATGAGCCACACACATGCATCAATCATGTCGAGCGAAGTCGGCCCTGGATGCATGTCTCAGAACGAACTCATTCTAAACTCTCTGTAGGGATTGCAGAACTTGTCTTCATCTCATACTCTGTCAGCTTAACACGTGGACTTTCGCGACCAATATCATCCATAATAGAGTTAGACTTCTCCACAAATCTGTCTGTCGCCTGATGAAGCTGGTTGTGATTACTGGCGGAACGTCGTACTCAGTTTGTAAATGTTGTGGCTTGGCTCTCCAACACACCGACGTGCTGTACTAGTGACGAATTGGCACGTTGTGTTTACGTGACAACCCTTACTAGTTGGCTGTGTCGGGTGGTGGCGGGTTTTAACGACACATTTATATATTTACGCGATCTAACCCCAAAAAACCTCTATTATGGATTAGTATAAGTGTTTGTAAAATGGACCACGAAATCCCAAACCATATATATTTAAATATATGTTATTCAGAGTTCTGTTGAAGTTACAATTTTGGGCACTTTCTTAAAATGTTGTGGTTAGGAAAACAAAGTATTCAAACGCAGACATTTTTACAAGTACTTGAAACGCTTAAAAGTAATTTCCCTAAAATTGCGCATCGAGTGTATGCACTGAATTCGCCAGACAATGCCTGGGAGCATGCATATGCTGTACAATACAGGGAGAAAATAAAGTATATCATGCCCCCACAAATCTAAATGCCAGCACCATCATTGATTAAGATATGTTTTGCAAAAAACATTATTGCATTCACCTGTTGCTTAAATTAGGAAGACGTGATCATCGGTTAGAATGCATATTTTAATTCGAGAGCATGTGTTACATTTTTGAATGTGAGCTCCATTCTTAAATCAACTTTCTACTATTCTATTTGTCTGCTCGTCCCACAGTGGCCAGTCAGTCCTCTGGCAATGAGGAGGTACGGTCCTTACTCTACTTAACTTTGATCTCGCTGTGTGTTGGCAAGCTGCACAGAATGTAGGATAGTTGTTTTCTGCAGGAAAGTATAATGACGGTTATGCTATCCTGATGAATCATACATAGGTAAAGCCAGCATTCAGTAGCCCCATCTCTAAACAGCCACAACATTTTAAAAGGCAGCATTTCAAACATTTAAATCTAAAGGCCGCCGTGTTTATACTACATACGTAATTAATAATATAACAACCCTTTGTCAATGCACTGGCGGATGAAGGCCTTACATCTCGCATTAGTCCTGGAAGAGGCTATTTGGTCAGGTTGGTGAAGTTGGGGACAATGGTTAGTTCTGATAGGAAATCAATCTGATTTCTGTTCAGAACAATGGAATCTTGTGATTGTATAGACTGCGCAACTGGAGGGAAATCCTTCTCTGTGGATGACTTGTGTACGCGTGATGCATCCTCACCTTCTCCTTCAGGCCCAGAAGCAGCAGAGGCGTGCAGAATCCCGAAACATCATCTTCAGCTTGAACACGAACAGGTAGTCTAACAACGCATAACAGATGTACGCACGAATGCGTATACACCCGTCAAAGTAAATAACTGTGAGCATGTTTATATTGGTGCTGGTGCAGATGCAACTCAGGTGGGTGATCTATGGCACATTGAAGGGATAGCTCCTTCCTCTTGTACCTTATGCATATTATTTATGTTGATGACATGCTGCTCATATTGAGAAGACATATAAACTCTGCTTGGACATAGACACATCAGTGGGAGGATACATCGGCTGCATGATGTAGTCGGTATGCCCAGCAACTGCACGCCCAGCCACTGCACGCCCAGCCAGCGCATGCCCAAGCAGCTTCCGTTTGGCCAGATAAAGGGAGTTAAACGAGCACGGCACGGGCTAGAGAAGAGGTGGGCTGATGTACAGGAGGCGAAACGGATGTGCCATCGACTGGTACTAGTGGTGTCATGATTGGCCTCTTTGGAGCGGGCTCATGCAAGGTTCTGACGTGCAGTTGGCAGTAGCCGCTATCCAGCAATCATTGGAAGCGGAAGAGCAATACTCATGACAATGAGCAGAGTGCCAGGTGGCTAAAACACAGCAAGGTTGCTAAATGGAAAGCGCAGTTGGTGCATCTGCAAGTCATCTCAGTCAATGAACCTATCATAGCTGGCTGGCCCATCCCGTGACTCCCACCAGGGGGCCTTTGACACTTCGCACGGTCTGAAACTGCTCCTAAGCTCGTACAAGTGCCAGGGTGATGTCACCAGCACTTAGTGACGAATGGAATTTGATGTAATTATGAGTGCAGATTTTTTTTTATTGAGGCTAATTGAGGGATCTGTGCCTCAGTATAAATGAAGAAGAGTGGCATTCCTGGTTAATACTTGCACTATAGCCATGGTGCCCCAGCTTCGATTCCTGGCTATGCACAACAGCATTGTGAATTGTTATCTAAACCTGATGAGTTCAAAATTGCAGTTTGACTTTTCCTGCTATAATAATTACCTGGCACTGTGTGACAGCGCCGAGTAGACCCAGCTGGCCTGGGTGCGGTGCCGGCTTCACCCATCTCCTCCTGGGCTCTGCCAATCGAAATTCACGAGTGGCCCGACAGTCCGCCGTGAGGCTTCACAGGGAATCTCTGTCCTGGCGACAGGGCCCCAAAAGCCACACGCTCGAACTCGGACCCGGAGGATGACCTCGTGGAGGAGGACGAAGCGGAGTGGAGCGCACAGACGTGCCAACAAGGCGTTGAAGAGGAGAGTGTTGATGATAATGAGGAAGAGGTGAGTGGCTGTAAGTCTGTGTGTGTGTGTGTGCATGTGCTGGGTAGTGAGAGCTCGTGTTTGTTACAGTGGGTAGGTTTCAGATCAAACACAGTCAGAATCAGAATAAGAATTTATTTATTTATACGCGAGGAATCCGATGAGCTATAAAGCTCTTTTTCACAGATGTCCGTCCAATAGGGGCAGGTCAGAAAGTTACAACAACAAACGATACAAAATCACTCAGGTTATTTTTTTCCCCAGTACAAAACATGGCTTTGCTGCGTATTAGCATGAGCCATAGCGGCTCCTGCACTCTATTCGAATGGTTCAGAAATTTCTCACATAAGAGGAATTGTCCAGATCAGAAGTCTTGAATGAAGGAGTTACCTTTGGGAGATGTCTCGTATTTTTATTTTAAATGCTGGTAATTTTTGTCGTGCATTTGTACGTATGTTTATTTACTGTTTAAAATAAACGGACCGGCTCTTACACACACACACACACCGAAACACTGCACACAACGCGATGCATTGTGCACTATGAGGCATCATTGGTCATGTTTTTTGGCGTCATATGCACGCAACGCACACGATCCAACTGGGAAATGCTGCACGCTGACTGCGAACTGGGAAGGGCATGCAGCACTCACTGCTGCATGTGTAGGTGCATTTTTGTTCCCATCACCTCATGCTTCCATGAGGGGTGTGGTTTGTGTAACCCGGACCCTGGGCTGGCCTCCCATCAGCCCCAATGAACTCTGGCTGACTGCACTGCACACACTGCCAGCTAGTGTGGGTTTGTCTTTGTGTGTGTGTGTATATGTGTGTGTGCATGTGTGGAGTGGTAGTACAGCGGTTAGTGCACTGCACTACAAACCCTGTGACTCGAGTTCGATTCCCGCTCACGGCCGACACCAGTGACGATTAACTGAATAGGTCCTGGGCCTCCCCTAGGTCGACTCAGCCACAAATAAGTACCTGGTGCGATGTGAAAACATCGCCACTGGGAAGACAAAAGCGGCCGGGCATGGTGCTGGTCACCCACCCCCTCGTATGCCTTGCCGGCCTTCATAGGTGCTCGCTAACAGCACTTGCCCTACCAGTCTGTTCAGGCTACATGGGGGATCTTTGTCTTTGCGTGGGTGTGTGGGTGTGTGGGTGTGTGGGTGTGTGGGTGTGCGGGTGTGCGGGTGTGTGGGTGTACCTGTATTTGTGTCTGTGCATGTAATTGGGGAGCCCCATTGAAGGCCATCACGGCGATGCGTTGATGTATCTGTGTTGAACTTCTTTCGCACTGGTGATGTGACCATCACTGGCTCCACGCGATTCTCCATCTCTCAAGGACAATATTTGTACGACTCAAATTTGTGCGTAAATGTGTCATCATCAATCATCATCTTAAAACGGCCCTAAACAACAAACCTCAAAGCCAGTACACACGTCATTGGCCCCAATGCGTGGTGCGTTTTTGGCCACCATCGTGTCTCTTTTTGTTGTTGGAGCAATTCATGTAGCGCTAATTCTGCAATTGGTGACCTGCATTCCCCCGCTTCTCTTTCTGTACTGGCAGGACGGAGTGGGTGGAGTGAGGGCAGAGCTATGGATCCAAAGCGATAAATCGTGGAATAATTCCACCAATCGTGAAATCACGTCAATCAATATTTGGGGGCATGTTTTTTCAGGGCCTTCATTTAATAAAATTTAAAAAAAGTAAGAAAAATAATAACTGCCCACATTACATTAATGTGTTATGCGCACTTTGAATATTATTATTAGGAATGCACTTTAAATTGGGAAGCCTCACTGGATCTCACTGAGTCTCGAGTGTTTGGCTTCTTGTGGGAGGAAACTGGAGACTTAAGATTCCATCGCTGTGCTCCCATCTCCTGGCCACCTGGCAGCCAGCCCTGCAGCACCAAGCAGTCGCCCACTCCACCGCAAACCATGTGCGACCCTGGCAATGTAAAATGAAGCATTTTATCCGGGGGGGGGGGGGGGGTGGGGGGGTGTAAATGTGTCTCTCCCCGGATGACAACTGAAGTGCAATCCTGGGGATTAGAAACGAAAATCCGAGCCCGGAGAATCCCCCAATTCCACCCGCCCCCCCCCCCCCCCCAATTTCACTTGCACTCTGCTGCTCAGCTGAATGCACACATTGTGCTTTGACGTGGAATGAAAGCACTCTTAACCTCCACGCAAGGTGCGATACTCATCGCAAGTTAAAAACAAATGAGTTTGTCAATTGGATCGTGACCCCGAATCGTAAAAATCCATCACGTCGCAAAGCGGCACGTGACACCGCAGGCCAATATAATATTGGTGGAATTGCTGTGCTCACATTCCCAACCATGCAGTCCGCGGTGCCAGCGACGTTCTGCATCGCTCTGGTTTTGCAGCTGGGACGCGCTGTTGCTGACGTATGCCTCGTCTCGATAATGTTCTGATGCCTCTGTTTACGTCTTCCAGGAAGCACCCATGCAGGAGCTCTTGGACTTCTCTGCCCTCTACAGCTGCATGCTTATCAGCTCTGTACTGGTAGGTGCACACACGCACACGAACACACACACAAGGAAACCGATTGGGACAATTATCACATAAATGTAATAAATGTAAGCGCCAATACACAAACGACTGGCCGGACGGCTCAAGAGAAGATGGTGCGGACTGTCCATGCGAGCAGTGACCATGACAGGGTGGAACCGGACGTGACAACACGACACCAGTGGAGGGATGTGAATGCAGGTGCCAATATACGATCGCCTGACGTGACAAACACATATTAAATAAGCAATACCTCTGTGGGCGAATTTAATGACGAGTTTTAATTCTCGTAATGCTAACTCTGGGAAGTTACAGCAAGACAGAGAGAGGATTTATTATGGAAAACAATTAGCAGAATGTTCATCCTGTATAGACTACTGGAGGCGACAGTGTGCGTTTGCGAGCACCTATTTAGGCAATTATTGTGCATGTGGTGTTGATGGGGTCCAGGGTCACATTTGCCTGATTGCCGCTCTCATGCGCCAAGCATTTATTTTAACCCGGTCAACTTCGGGGAGTCCCAAGCCAGGTAGATAGAGATGACTAATCAAAGTTAGGTCGTGGATCAAAGTTAGGGTTCTGGGATTAACCTGACTTTCACAAATACATACGTGCATACGTGTATCTGCATGCACATAATACATGTGCATACACAGGCACAGGCAGATGCTGTTTGGTTAGTCCAGCTGGGCTGCCACAACAAGAGCAGTGTTTTGGTAGCAGTGAGTGATTTTTAAATAAACTTAAGCAGGCTTCTGCTGTCCACATTAAACATAATGCAGGTGTGAGAAGTTTATTTGATGGGACTGCCTTTTGTTTGTTTGGAACTCTGGGGCTGGCAACCCCGAGCCAATATCATGAAGGACGGCTCATGCAAACTTTTATTTCTTTCTTTACGAGACTTGGCTAAGACTAGCTGATCACCCTGAACTTGGCTAACCGATGATTCACACCCAACTCGGCAGTCACTGTCCCAAGCTGTGTTTGTGTTGGTTAGGGGGAGATTTTGGATTGTTTAAGTGCACATATGGGCCACAAATGATAGAAGCAGAACTCAGAAGCAAATATATGGCAAGCGAGAAGCAGGGTGACACGTGCGTAGAGGAGGTGAGTCATTTATAGGGGCTCTGTTTCCTCTGGGCACCTTCTGCTGTCAGAAGAGATGATCCCGTGTAAGACAGAGAAACACTGCCCGAACTGGAGGGAATGGTGCTCTCTCATCTGAAGAAGGAATGGACTTCAACTTGTACATTGTATTGGAAGAGTCTTTTACTAACTGGCCACGTGGTTCAATGGGAGAGCGAGTGACTTGCAATCAGAAGGTCGCGAGTTCAAATCCTAGTTGGAGATTGATTCAACCCATCATCTCTCTTGGGTCGATAAAATAAGTGCTGATTTGTGGGGAAGTGAACAGTGGGTGTACTGTGGATTTACTCACCCCCTGCCGTATGAATGTCACATTTCCTCTACTGGTTTAGAGATGTAAACAGGAGATGAAACACTGCCTCAATTCTCAATTGAGGAGGAAATCAATTGGGACTTTTGAGTCTTTCGCTATAGAGCTGGCTTTGGAATAATGAAGTAATTTTAGTATTTTTTATGGTGTTTACTAGTGAATTTAAAATGGTCTCGTGCTTTAGGCAGTTGTTATTTTACATGGCTGTAAGGGTCTTATTTACTTTTATTCGTTAAGGGATTTTGAATGGTTCAGTTATTTTATGTAAAGTGCTGTGAGGTTTTATGTGAATGGCACTGGATGAATCTAGTTTTATTTTGTTACTTTATTACTTCGATTTGTATAGTGAGTTAAGCAGCTCAATTATCAGACCTTTCATCTTCTTGGTTCTTTCGGTAAAGTCACGTAGAAGGGAAGTAATAAAATAATAAAAATAAAACATAATAAAACAATTCTCACGACGTTTCGGCCACAACGCAAGCAGCCGTCTTCAGGTGAAAACCAGGTCCGTCGAGGCGACAGAGTCTGAATGAAACAGCACACGAGCTTGGAGCATATATATAAGCTGGGCGCATTGACAAAGGAATTTGCATATCAAAAGGAATTTAGCATATTTATGGGAAATGCAGGAATGTGATTAGTACTGCATATGCATGTGCATTATGCAGGATTAACAGCATCAAAGGGAGCTGCAGTTACTGCTGCTGCTGCAGTTGCTGCTGCTGCAGTTTCTGCTGCTGCTGCAGTTGCTGCTGCTGCTGCAGTTGCTGCTGCTGCTGTTACTGCTGCTGCTGCACTTGCTGCTGCTGCTGCAGTTGCTGCCTTATCCATTTTAATATAACACTATGTATTATTCTACCCACCCTAATGTGTATCACACTGCTATATGTTTACTATACAATTACGACACCATACATTACTCTGCACACTGCACCATGCCAGTGAGTGGAACGCGGTCTGAAAGTCACCGTAAACGTGAACACAATCAGTTAAGATCCGAAATGGTTTATTACGTCCTTCCAATGATTGCTAAGCCAGAATCCATCTTCTCGGTTGAAATTGTCTCTGTGTTTGTATATGTGGATCGCCTCATGAACGAATCTCTCATGATAGCCAGATGGCTTGCAGAGAACCTCTGTCTTGGAGAAGTCAATATCATGTGAGCCCACTGAGTTGTAACAGTGATCTGCCACGGCTGAGGTGTTTGTCCTACCGTGTTTCAGGTCTGCCTTATGTTCACGGATGCGGTCCGAGACATGTCGTTTGGTTTCTCCAATGTAACTGCTACCACAGAGGCAACTTAGTTTGTAGACGCCAGGGTACTGTATGTCTGGAACCACATCTTTTACAGACGGGACCAGATCACGGATTTTATGTACTGTGTTGAATCGGACCTGGATCTTGTGTTTAATCAGGATTTTGGAGATCTTTTTTGTGACCCCAGCAATGTAGGGTAAGGTGATGGTCTTGAAAGGCTCCTCAACAGGATCCTTCTTGATGGTTGGAGTGATGGCTTTGCGGATTGTGTAGTCGGAGTAACCATTAGCCTTAAGAGCTTGGCGTACGTGTTTGAGTTCACTGGAAATGTGTTCATGGTCGGAGATGCATTGGGCTCTATGATATAGAGTCTTGATGAGGGAATTCTTCTGGGATGGATGGTGGTGGGAATCCGGTTTTAGATAAGCATCCGTGTGGGTGGCTTTCCTGTAGACAGAGTGGCTCATTGAACCATCAGGTCTCCTTTTGATTAGGACATCCAAAAAGGGTAGCTTGCCATCATTTTCGACTTCCATGGTGAATCTGATGGCTGGGTGTATGGAATTGATGTGGTCGAGAAATTGGTCTAGAGCAGGCCGGCCATGTGGCCAGATGACAAAAGTGTCGTCTACGTACCTCTTCCATAAGGTCGGGCGTAGAGTGGCAGTCTGGATGGCGTCCGTCTCAAATTTCTCCATGAAGATGTTGGCTACAACCGGAGATAGGGGGGAGCCCATTGGGGTGCCCTCAATTTGCTTGTAGAAGGTTCCATTCCAGGTGAAGTATGTATTGGTTAAGCAGTGTCTCACCAGGGGGGGTACCCCAGCATTCAGTCCTTGATGAACCAAGTCTTCAATGATTGCGATGGTGTCAGGCACAGGCACCTTGGTGAACAAGGAAACCACATCAAAACTGACAAGCAGGTCGTCTGGGGACAGGGCAATCCCCTTGATTGTCGATACCAGGTCAGTAGAGTTTAGTACTGCAGAGGTGGTTTTTCCAGTGAAAGGCCGTAGGATTTCGGACAAAAAACGAGCCAGTTTGTAAGTGGGGGAGTTGATAGTAGAAACAATGGGACGAAGAGGTGTATCTTCTTTATGTATCTTTGGCAAGCCGTACAATCTTGGTGGCCTGGCTGCAGAAGGTTTCAACGATAACTGTTTGGTCTGATCAATTAATGCGGTTGAAGCAGAAATGATGTTGTTGGTTTTGGAGACGAGGCTGTTGGTGGGGTCTCTTTTTATTTTTGTATAGCTGCCATCGTTGAGTAGTTCTTGAATTTTGTTGTTGTATTCTATTTTGTCCATGATGACAGTGGCATTGCCTTTGTCGGCTGAGAGGATGACAATGTCATCCCTCTTTTTTAATTGAGCTAATTCAAAACGCTCATCTTTGCTGATGTTGCTAGCTGGCATCTTAGCGTTTTTGAGGGTTACAGAGATTTCAGATCTTGCTACGTCTGCAGCGATGTGACTCAAGCCCTTGAGAGCTACATCTACTCGAGCAATTATATCATTAACTGGTATGTGTCTAGGTGTGACTGCAAAGTTTAGTCCTTTAGCTAAAACGGATTTCAAACCTTCAGAAATAGGACTGTTACTGCGATTAATTACGACTTTGTTAACATCTAGCTTTTCAATGTGTGGGTCCGGTTTCTTGTTTGAGAGGCGGTTGAATTTGGAAATCAAGTTGTCCTTACACTTAGTCGACATAGCGGCAGCTGAAGAGGCAGTCATTTTTTCCACATGTTCCCAATCCGATGTGGACATTGTTACACTCAAAGATAAGTGTGATTTGTAGAGTGTCTTGTCTAACTGATCTAGTTCGGTGCGCGTAAGTCTGATTTTCTCTGAGATAAGAGCTAAGCTAGTTCTAGACAGAATTCGTTTCGCATTAGAAGAAGTTACAGCAGCAGATGTTAGTGTAAATGCGTTTGGTATTACCTTAGAGTCGCGGCATCTCTTCAGAAAGGTGAGAGACTCGATTAGCTGAGCCTTCTTATCCCGGAGCTTGTTGAAGGATCTCAAAGTTATGTGGAAACCCTCCCCGTAGAGGCGGTTAAATTTCGATTTAAAGCTTTCGTGACTGCAGGGATTCATCTTCTTGGTTCTTTCGGTAAAGTCACGTAGAAGGGAAGTAATAAAATAATAAAAATAAAACATAATAAAACAATTCTCACGACGTTTCGGCCACAACGCAAGCAGCCGTCTTCAGGTGAAAACCAGGTCCGTCGAGGCGACAGAGTCTGAATGAAACAGCACACGAGCTTGGAGCATATATA